CCGGAAGGTAGTGAGATGCTGGTTTCTACTCCTGTTAATGTTGCGCCTGTTCCTGCCGCGTGTGGAAGGGGGCCTGGTGGGTTGGATGATGGTGTTTCGCCTGTTTTGGGTGTTGTGGAGGATTCTGATCGGCTTCTGAATAGTGTTATGAATGTGGATCCAAATGTGGGTGGACAGATGGTAAATTCGTATGTGCTAGGCATGCTTGTCAATTCTCAAAATTTGGTTAATGTTCCAGTAAACTTAATGGCATCCCAAACTATGATGTATCAGGTGGGTGGTACTTCTGGATTAGATGTTAGGTCCCATGGTGATTGGTTGCACAATTTGTTTGATTATGAATCTGATTTTAAGTCATATTCAGAGCCTGGAAATAAGTTTAAAATGGTTCGTGATAGATCTCTTAAGGTAGCTTCTCGTGGGAAATTTTGGAATAGAGGTGGTAGAAGAAGATAATTCATTTTCAACTTTGATTGTTTTTTTGCGGATGATCGGTTTGTTTATCGTTTGGATTGGAGGTTGCGGGGCTATGATGTGGATGAGGCTCGTGTCCTCGTTGGCTTTCTTGTGGCAACCGTTGGTGATTCCCACCCTTCTGGATGGTCCTTGCGCGGATTCGAGGATGCTGGGAGTCTCGGCCTTCCACTGAGCCCTCTTTTGGGTCTTCTTATTTCTGTTTTTTTGTGTCTGTATCTTTTATTTGGTGTTCTTTTCTTTTTTTTTTCCTTCCTCCAGCTGTTGTAACCCCTTTTTATTAATTAATATATTTGTGTTAAAAAAAATTAGCATGCGAAAAAGTTTCGATTCGGCAAGGAAGAAACAAATTTGAGGTAAAAGATGCAAATTATATAATTGAAAATTTAAATATTTTAGGAAATTATATATGCAATGTGATTAGAAATATAGTTTGTTAATTTGAGGAATTTTATATTTATTATTGCTTTGATGATTTCTTTAGAATTTGGTCTAATAATATTTAATGTTAATTAATATTATGCTAGAAGAGAGGGGGGGGGGGGTAAATTTTTTATATTTTGGGGGGGGGGGGTTAAATTTCTAAATTTAGTTAAATATTGGAAGTCAACAAAAGTTTTTGGAGGAAGTTAGGTGTAACAATAAGGAAGTTTATTTCAAAGATTGAGGATTTGGAAGCATTTTAACACGCAAAAGTAATCAAAGTGGATAATCACAATTATTTTATATCAATTATATATATATATATTTTTTAATTTTCATTGCAATTATTATATGTCATAGCATATATGTTATCTGAATATTTAATGTATAAAATAAATCAATTAAAAAAAAATAAAATGAATGATTATATTAGTTATAACAAATTTAATTATCTTTAATTTATTGCTAAACATTATATCATACTCAAGTACTTGCTATAGTTAAATGCTAATATACAACAAATTTGAGAATGACTGAATAATTGAAGTTCATAATAATAATAATATATGTATGAAAAAAATATTTTTATAGATTTCTAAGTTATTTGATGGAAAATTGAAATAAACTAAATGAATATTAATATGAAAATGAAAAATATAAAAAGGGAAAAGGTGCATGCATGCAAATATTAGAGTTCATCTCCTTATGATAATGTCTAGGGGTGCAACGTACTCATGCACATTAAATAGAAAGAAAATGGAAATGATTATGCTTTTATTAGTATAAAATTTTAGACGGTGCACTTGTACTAAATGAAAAGAAAAAATGAATAAATGAAAAAAAATGAATAAATGAAATAGAAAAAGAAATAATTTGTTTGAAATGCATATAATAAAAATCTATAGTATATATATGAATATTTTTTAAATGTTGATAGTACAAGAAAGGCAAAGAAACATATTATACTACAAGCTGTGATTATCTGCTAAGTTTATTATGTAAATTCAAACTATTAAACTAAAATTTCAGATAAATCTTATGCGAAATAAATGACTGAAAGAAAAAAAATTTGTCTACAGAAGAAGGAGATCAAATGAAAATAGCTAAGAACTGATTTATGTGTATGATCAATTTGAAATTTTGTTTTGATGTCTATTCACTTATATGTGAAATTTTAGTTTGTTAACTATTTTACGTTATTGAAAAAAAATGTATTAATCATCCGACCGTTCACACCTCGTTAATTCGAGCCTCTGGGCTAGATCGTGACATTTTTAAATTCCTTAAATCAGAAGAATGTTGGCAGCAAAGTTGTGTAAGCATTTATGTTTTTCAAGTTTCTCCATTGTTGCATAAGATGCCGTTTGGAATCAATTTTTATTTTTTAAAAAAATTATTTGATTTATGTTTTTCAACTATTTTTAATTTTTGGTTTCAAATAAATCAAGCTATTTTTAAAAAAAATATAAAAATAACTTTTATGTGTTTACATTATTTTCAAAATAAAAATCACCGTAGTATATACTATCACTAGCTACCACCACCATTCAACATTGCGGGAGCCTCCAACACCATGCCGGTAACGACCATTCTTAGCAACTACTTTGACAAATAAAATAAATCACCCATAATTAGAAATAAAACAAATATTTTTTATTTTATATCAAAATATAAGTAAAATAAATCAATAAATAAAGAATTAGAAAGTGACCCCAAATAACCCAAATGTTTACTGATTTCAAAAGACCGTGCTTCAAATAAACCAGTACTTCTATAATTTTTTTTTTTTAGTCATGAAGATTAGGCAGTAGAACTATAAATTGTTAGTTTTGTGTGGAATCTGTTTATGACAATCAACCAGGATGCATTGTTGTGTCAGATCTCAATACCATCGCTCGAGTTCACTGTGGGTTCTGGAGAGCAACGCTTGAGGTTCAGGGGCAGCCTTACAGCATCGTGGTGATGTACATTAAAGCGTTGCGGCGTTGTACACTTTTGCACTACAGCATCATAGGATGCAGCTTGGCATTACTGTAGTTTTGACTTAGAGATAGAGAGCGGAGCGCCTGACACTCCAGAGCTAGTGCCATGGTGCACAAGTCAAGTTAGATACAGAGAGTGGAAAGTCACAGCGTTCCAAATCCTAGCGCTACGAGTCAGGCTAAACAATCTTCTTTCTCATTTTTTATGTTTTAACTTGAAGGGTTGCATCGCTTCATGTTGTATAAGCGTATCTCTTTATGAGTTGTGAGATAGAATAGTGTGAAGAAATGAAGTGAGACAAAGAGAGAGAGAGAGAGAGAGAGATTTGTACAATTTATCCCAATTTTCATAGTAAATTTCTCGACGTGATGTGGCTTTGTAGTTTTTTTTCCCAACTTCAAAATTTTTCACGTTAAATCCTAATGTACATTTCCGTTGTTTTCTTTTCTTGTTTGTTTTATTGCGTGGTTTACTTCCCAACATAGATTAAGTAAAAAAATTTAATAAAAACATAGAAGAGAAGAATAATAGAAGAATAGTAGAGTGAATCCTCAAGCCATGAATGTTGAATCATAGAAGCATTTGAATTATCGAATCCTCAAAATAGATTGGGATAAAGTGGTCAGCCAAGCTTTGAATTATCTTTGCTATGAAAGCTTGGTCGAGGGCTGGCAAGAGGGAACAATTATTACGTCCTCCGACCGGATGCAGAGAAACATCCGGTCGCAGCCAAAATCCCGCTATACCGAAGTGTATCGAGTTTTTTTCGAAAAACTCGGTACACCTCGGTACAGCGGAATTTTGTCTGCGACCGAATGTTTCTCTCATTCGGTCAACCGGACCAAATAAAACTTCGGCAATAGGAGGGCGATAGTAAGACAAATGAAAAAGAAACTTGAAGGACAACTGTAATTGTTTCAACCTTGCCAATGAACACCAAGGAACCGCAAAGAAACTCTCACCACCCAACTTTACAAGCACTGGAATACAAGCTTAAAATAATTTTATTTCTTCAATAGTTGAATTATATAATAGAACTTTTTTTTTTTTTTTTTTTGCAAAGAAGTGAAGATTGGCCGTGAACAATTAGAATGTTTATATGATACTCAATAATACAAAATTTTTGAATTTCCTTAAATAGGACGATGGCAATGTTTTATTTGGAAAGGGAATGCTCTTCATTTTATCACATTTAGTTTTTACAAATGGAGATGGGTTTTCCATGGGCTGAACATAAGGGGAGTGAATTTTAATGAAGCACATGTGAATCAAATAATGAGAAGGGTCAATCATGCGCACTTAGATCCTGATTGGAGCTTGTTATGATTAATTGGACAAAATAATTATATATTTTAGGAGTTGTCGAATGCAACGCCGCAATCCATTTCGCGAACGGATGTCGTTTGGGCAATGTCGAGTATCAATTTCCTTGATTTGCACGTCGTTGCTTTGGGATCCACAATGGTCTCCTCGCACATCTTTAATTGAACAAATTTATGGTCATTGTTGGGTATTGACTTTGTTCCGGATGCAACGATGAAGTCCATTTTGCAATCGGAAGTCATTTGGGAACCGCCGCACATCAATTTTGGGTGTTTGTCAACAATTTTGACCGATCTCGTCCGATTTGGGTACAAGAGGTTCCCTCTTGGACGAATTCAACATCCTAATTGCAACAACGCGGTCTGTTTGACAATCGGATGTCATTTGACCCTTCAAATAACCCATTGCGCCAACGCGCGCTTCACTTGATTAGCTGATCTTACACTTTTTTGTGCGTATTTTGATGTAGGGGTCAAACAAGATTTAGCTTTGGACTTGTTGGTAGAATTTTGATAATATAGAGCTCATACTTGACTCAATAGCAAATCAGACCAACCCAAATAAAGCCCCCAGCTTGCTCTCGATCACAGCCCAAGTAGAATGTAAGGGGCATCAGCTTTCACTTTTCAGTATGATGCAAGGTAAGCAGTGCGTGTGTTTTGATAGACAAAAGTTGATCTTCCTATTCAAAATAGAATGGCTGTCACGAGACTGAATTCTCTGTACATCTTAACCAGTCACAATTAGCATGAATATATAAAACAACTCAAGATCAGAAAACAATGCAACAGCCAATTAAATTTGCAACGCCCTCAGCAATATAATCGTAAGGGGAAAATTGTATTAGAAAATTTCTCAATTATTTACAAGAGCTTCTTTGGCATATTAATTAATAAAAAAAATTAAAATACAATATCTTCCTCTATGTATAGTTGGCAAGAAGCGTACATAACATAATTTCACAAAAATGGCATCTGTTGGACCAAAAAAAAATTTGGACAAGCAGTTCATGGAAGTTGAAATTTCTTCAAATCAATGGCAGTGTGGCAATCCTCTATAAATTATCCAGAAAAAAACTCAGTATTCCATTGCATGTAACCTGGGAAGCCATAAGAATATCATGTAGCAGATCTCCATTCACTTGTCCGCATTACATATACAAACGAATCAGTTTTCTCAAATTCCTGAAAAGAATATAAAATCAGTAGAGTAATAAGATAACACAGTAGCTACCAGGCACAAATTTAAAATTAAGAGGAATTTTGTAACAAGATGCTTACTGTTAGACAATAGTGCTATGGAAAAAGAATTTTCAAAAAATTCACAAGATTAATTTAGTTTGACTTAAATGAGTTGTTTGGTTGGATACATTAGCCGGGTATTGTATTCCATTTCCCTCTATTTCAATTTTTTAATGTTTAGTAACAAGCTAGGAAAGCCAACATATAAAATTTACTTAGTTTCTGTTATAACCACTTTATTGTCTCTGTATATACATGCACCTTGTAATTCAGCAGATGAAATAAGAAAACTTTTTTTCTTTCTGAAATTATATTTTGTTTGCAGTATCAGAGCCAGGTTGGGGGAGACAATCCAAAGTTTGGTAGAGATCATGGCACACCATGAAAGGTAAACAGCTAATGAACTCTCTTACACAAGAAGTAAGATTGCACTTTCCCAAATAACTATTATTGTGTGTTATCAAATTTTCACCGAAAATTTACAAATGCATATGTGATATATTGTTATTGATGCATTCCTAGGCAGTAAACACTTGGAACTCCATTTGAGGAGCTACCCTATTATAACTGGGCCTAACAGGACCGAGCCGGTCAAGTGAACCGGCCAATTACTGTAGCAGGAAATAAAACAGCAAACAGGGATGTCCCTGGGCGGACTGCATGTGTGCATGGAGGCTTCGAACTGGATTGATTCGCAGTACTGAGCGAATATTCATGTAAGGGAGTGAAAATTTGAGACTTAACTTATGTTTGCTCACTCCTATAGGGGGAAATCACATGAGAATCAAATGGATTCTTTTCATTTCTGTGCAAATTATTGCGCAATTTCTTTTAAGTAGGGAAGAATGTCTCCTTTAAAGGTTTGTTCAATGATTCTTTTCATTTATGTGCAAATTATCTAAATTTTCAGTTAAGTCTTCTGATAAGTAGAAATGGCTAAAAGAGAGGAATACGTCTATAGAAGACGATGATCAAATGAAAGCAGGTAAAATGTGTTATATTCAAATATATGTTCAAATGTACAAGTAGTGTTTGTGGATCTTCGGTGTTTGAGGAATGTTAGATTTTTACTGTTATGTGTAATTGTATAAAGTGTTTTAATTGTCTGACTGTCTATTCTTAACTTGTTAATTTGAGCCTTCAGGCCAATTTGTGACATACCCTTCGTATGTCATGTTTCATGCACTAGTAAGATTTATGGGAAATGTTGATCGTATAGAGCGATATACTGTCAAGTAAATCGATTGATACAAGTACTATTTATATTAGTAAAAAAAAATTAAGAAATTTTATTTCGTACACATCTTATATGTGCCATTCTGTTTATGTGAAGAGATCAAGAATGGCTTGATGTTTAGACCATTGAACAAATTCACCTAGAGTCATTAATTGTTGTGGGCTCCAAAAATTCGGCCCCGGTCTCCCCCGCTGCTTTTCTTTAGAGGGAGTTTTAACAGATTAAGTTCCAGGGTAAATTTTGAAAGGCAGATGGGTTTGTAGATAAGACACTACCCAGAGATTTCACCATCATTTTGCGAGGACTTTATGATCTGAATTCTCGTTTCCTATAGGCGTAGCCCCTATAGCTAATTACCCCTCCCAATAACGAGAGAGAACTTTCAATTAAGGCTAGTCGTCAATCAGATATGTAGAAATACATGTTATCTGGCATATAGTAGCAACTTGGGCTTATAATTTGGGAATTTGATATTTAAAATTTGAAATTGCACAATCTTGCACTTAAAGCGGATGGTGGGGAAAATGGATGGACCTGAACAAGATCTTATGGTTCCGTCGTCCCGGGTCATCGTGGTCCCTAGTCTACTTAGTCAGAAGAGGTAGTCGACCCAACCTGACAGAAAGATTCTTATTGGCAGTCATGGGTTGATTCGTCCATGGGTACCTTGTAGACCACTGGGGTGTTTGTCTAAAGGGACATATTTGAATCCACCTTAGCTAACAGAGGGCTTTGTGTCCTATCAATCATATCCTATTGATTCATGTCTCATGGATTTGATGTCACTATGGAATGTATTGGCTCTGACCATAATTGTTATCTCGTGGTGTCATTTGGCAGCAAAACCACTCGGTTCAGAGGGTCTCGGGTCATAACCATTTATCATGCGGTGTCATTTGGCGGCAAAACCGCCGGTTAAAGGATACGTACCACATCCCTACTCGCGGGAGATTATTTGAGAATAAATTCTAGTGATATTTTCAAGTAGACATTAGCTCTATGTGAGCTGAAGTAAATTTCAATTTGTTCACCCCTGCAAACTATTGCAAAGGATGGATGGATTTTGCTTTAAGTGATTTGATGGATCGTTTCAACTTTAAAGATTCTCGACTTAAGATGATTTTGAGATTTTGGATTTTGTGGGTATTTGGGAAGTATTTGAAATATTTGAAATTAACCCCTCCAGTTGAGATCTTTGTTCAACGCATCCATCATCAGAGTATTTGGGATCATTTCCATTTTTTGGATTGAACTTGTCGACTCCGCCAAATTGCCGGCAGAGGATTGGGTTCGTTGTTCGCTTTGTGGTTTTGTTAATGAATTTTCTTTGTTGGAGGCCTTAAAGACCTTATATGAACGTATAAAACAGATATTACAGTCAACCCCTTGATCGATCTTTTCGATAGGTCGAGCCATGTCGACTCTTATATACCCTCATAGTAGGATCGGGCTCGAACTTAGGTTTATTATTTGACCCACGCAGCATCCTTAGACGCCACGTATGTATCTATAACACGCTCGTCGAGACTCATGCGAGTTTGCGATTACACATGCCCTTCTGTGTACCTATGTGCATATATATTACAATGCATGTGCGGGGGCATTTCCATATATATTTGACAGGTCTTCTACAACAGCTTCTGGAAGCTCAAACATGTTGTAGTCATCTTGGTTGAACTGGGGTTTACTCACCCCATCTTGATTTGATCTGGCTTTCTCTTCCCATAACTCATAAGGGAATTAACAAACAGCTCTCTAATTATGCTATCATTATCATTTCCTATTGTTGGCTTATATAAAGAATCAATCCTTTCAACCTTGGATAATTGTGTCCTTATTGATGATCAATATTTCAAAATCAGTGACCACTGTCTTGAACTAGCAACTGCGACAATTGAAGGTGTATAAGATCATCCTGGAGAACCATGTGAGATATTCATTCTCAAAATAGTTTGTCATCCTTGAGATGATTGGAATAGTATGTGTATTTTATATTTGTAATTGTGAGTTTAGGCCACCAAGCTTTGCATTAATCTTTAACAGCACATTTGTCAAACATTGATCATTAACTTCGGTAGGCAAAACACAATGTATTGATGTTCACTTGAATGCATTCCGATATGTCACATCGTCGTTTTCATTGTATGTCAAATCCTTCTGGTTGCAACTAACATGTTGATTGTGGTATGGGTCTCCTGCAATGTCATTGAACTCTTATGCTTGCATGGGATTGATTTGTTTTCATATAGTTGAATCATTGTTGATGATAGAGATGTTATTGCTCTCCTTCATTCTTGCCTTTTGACAAAATCATCATGCGCGTGTTGTATTTGTTACAAATCCACCACCATTGCTTACAGGTAGATAAATGAGCTCATCTATAAACTAAGAATGAATGTTGAATGGGTTGCATTCATTGTTGATATCCTTTCCACACATCCATCAATCATCTTATCATATTCATTGTGTGTTGGCCTTCAGCATGCATAGGCAGCCATTGTGTTTGTCTATAGGTTCATTTTCATATTCATTGCATATTAAACTCAACGGTCTGTGATAGACTGATGCGCTTACTTGCTAATTGATTGATTTTAACCATAGAAGAATCGTTGCATTTGCATTTTCCCATATATCATTCATGAACCTCTCACTGTATACCTCTTGATATTACTCATGAATATTTTGTTAGGTGCGTTGTTGTTTGATAATATCGATGTAAATGCCATACACATATCCCTATTATTCATGTATGACTTGGATGTTCAAGTGTTTAGTTGTAATTGGGTTACATATCCTCCTTGCTCCTTGTTGATGATCACTTGATTTGTAATGCTCATTGGAAGATTCTTGTGCCTCCACTTGCAACTCAGATTGTACATTCTTGTTGATCAACAATGCTTGCTATGACATATGGATACTTGTTGTTAATCCAGTAATGCTCATTTGAATATTTTAGACCATTATTCAATACCTCGTATTTTTCATTTCACTATATGCATGACAAATTAAGTTATGATTTATTGCTTGACATGTTGAATTTAATCCTTATGATTCATTTATGTCAATTATAATTCATTTGAGCTTATTTGTTTCATCATTCAAATCAAGCTCTTGGTCCAAGCTTGAGTCCAAGATCAATCATAATTCTTCATGGTCCAAACAAATTCAAGTCTTGTGTAGTTCAACATTGATCCAAGTCCTTGTTCCTCTCATTTGAAGTTCAAATCAAATGCAAATTCAAGTCCCCTGTTGTCTTGTAAAGTTCAAGTCCGAGTTCAAATTGAGTTCATGTCCACTGCACTTAGTTCATTTGAGTTTGAGTTCCCTTACATATGGTTCAAGTTTAGTTCATTCAATTTTATTTATCATATTCAATTCAAATTCAAGTTCGAATCTTATTCAAATAAGGTCCTCTGTGTTCAATCAAGTTCAAACCAGGTCCTCAGTTTAGTGAAAATTTCGGCAGCCTCCCAACGTCTCCACCATTTAGGGGGATATTTCAAGAGTATGCTCCAGCCATGCTAGAGAAAAGCGTGCACAGGCAGTATCAGATTCATTGCATATTATCAAATAAAAATCCTTTGTTATGCGCACATAGCAGCCACTCATTCATCATACAACAACAACAATATTAAGCCTTTGTTCCCACTACATTGGTTTGACTACATCAATCCTTTTTCTCCATTGTGTCCTGTTAAAAGTCAAATTCGTCTCTACCTTTCTTAACATAAGTCAAATCTAATACCTCTACTTTTCTACAGGGTCATAAGAAGGCCGTCGTTTTATGTGAAGAAACCATCTAAGGTGACTCTCTCTAATCTGATCTTCCACTGGAGCTACTCCAACCTTTTCACGTAAATGCTCATTTAGTATCCTATCTCTAAGGACAAAGCCACTCGTCCACCTGAGCATCCTCATCTCTGCAACACTTAACTTAGTATTATGAGTCTCTTTTAATGGTCAACATTCAGCACCATAAAGCATTACAGGTCTCATCGACATCTTATAGAATTTTCCCTTAAGTTTGAGGGGGACTTTTCTATCACATAACAAGCCCAGTGCATTCCTCCATTTCAACCATCCAACCTGAATTCTACTGATAATACCCCATCTATTTCACTATCGCTCTGAATAATAGATCCAAAATATCTAAAACGTGAACTCTTATTAATGACTTGATCGTCCTAAGTCACAATCCCCTCACTAGGTCTATTAATACTAAAATTACACTTAACATATTCAGTTTTAGATCTACTCAAGTGAAAACCTTTAGACTCTAAGGTTGACCTCTATAATTCAAGTTTACCTTCAACTCCCTCTATAGTCTTATCAACAAGAAAAATATCATTAGCAAAAAGCATACACCAAGGTACATCCTCTTGCAAATGTCTAGTGAGAACATCATGACTAAAGCAAAAAGATATGGGCTTAAGGCTGATCCTTGATGTAATCCAACCGAAATAGGAAATACTTCTTCAAACCACCTTGTGTTTGAACACAAGTAATAGCTCCAGCATACATATCTTTAATGATTTGAATATAAGCATTATTAACTCCTTTCTTTTCAAGAACCTCCATAGCACTTCTCTTGAAACTTTATCATATGCTTTCTCTAAATCAATAAATATAATAGGTTGATTCTCCTTATTCTCTCTATATTTCTCCATCAAACCTTTCAATAAATATATGGCTTCCATAGTAGACCCACCCGGCATGAATCCAAATTGATTTTGAGAAACATTAGTATCACGCCGCAACCTACGCTCAATTGACAAACAAAATATAAATACTAAATATTTTTAACCACTAGAATTTCTCTCTTTTTCCTTCTCCCTTTCAGTTATTTCTTGAATTTTCTTTTGGTTCATCCAGAAAAACTCAGAACTCATAAAAAAGAAGAAAATATTAACATACAAAATACTATATGACATAATATAATAAAATATTAAATACCAATATCACCATGTCTATTTAAGCTTCAAAAACTGAGCTTGATGCTTTTGTAGCCTTCATCTCCTCGCAATAACATCAATTATCTCGCCAGTTATATGTTTAAAAAAAAAAGACATGAAAGCCAATAACCTTTAATGTTGAACCATTTCGTCGCCAATTGACCCCTATGCCTGTCATCAATTTATTGTGAAGGCCTCTATCTTGTAGCTGCCACATCAAGTTCCTCAATGCATATTGTCGATCACCCCAAAAAAAAAACTTTTTACACACCAACAACTAAAGCTAAACACCAACCTCTGATCATATTCCATAGGCCAGGCGACCACCTCTCAACCCTCCATATTCAAAGCTAATTGAATGAAGGATAAGATTGAGAGATGCACTTCAAAATCATGCAATTATCTCTTCTTATAAAGCTTAGAAGGCAGGTATATTGACAAATAAGATAATAATACTATGGGTACAATTCTATACATATGGCTACAATTCTATGACTTTTAAAAGGTTAGGGAGAGCTTTTAGGTTCTTTGACTTTGCAAACAATGTTGATGAGAAATTTATCTCTAGAACTGAACACCCTGGGGCTCAATTTGATTCAAAATGATCGTCATATGAATAATGAACACATTTAGAGGGTTGCCACATTGTGTAGGACACTTGCTCTAAGGAAATCAAGTTGAGCAAGTCATTTTGTGAGTTTCTCTTTTGTTGTAAATATTTCCTAATTTACTGGATAACACAATGCTCAGCCACTTCATAGAACCTCTTGAACAAATATTGGGCATATATTAAACACAAATTATGCCCCTTCAATTATGAAAATTATAACAACATTGACAAAATGAGAACAATGACGTAGAGTCTATTGGAATTATGAAAACGTGACCTTTTTTTATATGCACTTCATGTATTTTAAATGTCGAGTCATGGTGGTGAAGCATATACTCCTATCTCTAAGGAAGTTTTAAGAAGATATCAGAAAAATAAATCTACCTAAATCAACAATATGTAGAAAGTGCTAATTTGTATAAATGACGCAGGGAGGAAGTTTTCTAGAATTAACAAACACTTAGGCAAGCAATCTTAATTCAATATATATTAAACTAGTTATAATAGAAAAATCATGGGAATGTCTGCTTTACTTTCATTCACCATCCCAATTTATTAGATCTGATCTAGGAGCCTCAATCTTTACTAATCGCTCTTCAATATCATTAACAATGCCACGACACCTTGGGAAGCCACAATAGCATGCCAATTCATCCTTTGAAAAGAACCTAATTCAAAGACAAAAATGAATATAATAGTTTAGCACTATGAAGGAGAACAAGAAAATTAAAGATTGAACGAAGCTTTCCTTACCTATAATCGTATGCCAGCTCCTCCCATTGGCTAATGTCTCGTTTTGCAAATATGATAATATGTTCATCGCCATTAACACTGATCACCCTTGAATAACAATTTGGCTGACAAATTATATTCCAAATAAGTAACAAAATATAGCAAAATATAAATAAATTGGCAAAGAAGAAAACAGCATTTGAGTCAATATACCAGTTACCAAAAATAATAGTTACAATAGTCAGAAAAACTTTGTGGTGTAAGAATCATATTCATATTACTCAATTAAATGACTTTCAAAGGTTTTGATAAAAGTCAAACATGGTTCACAACCATATAAAAAAAAATTCCGGTAACTATATTGTCGTTTGTATGGCAATGGTACATTAATACTTTTACCACAGATGTAACACCCTAGTTTTAGTGTACGGGACTTCAAAAGACGAGAACTTTATTTTTTCATCCAAGCCAAGACACCAAGTTGCAGCTTGCCACCTTCCTTTACTGATGTAGCATTTTTTTCCTTTATTCTCAATGTTTAGTGCATGTCAAAATGCGAATGAGATCATTTACCACTCACAAAGGAACGTGAAGCTTTAATGTTTTATGCTTCGTATATAATAAATATATATAATAAGTCCCAGTTATTTGATATCTCTAAAAATAATAAAATTAGTCTATATGCTCACATTAAGACTTCTCTAGCTCTGTCATTAATCGTATAATCTATATTCGCCATGGTCCCTCCATCGTTGCATGTTTTATCTCATGTTTATCTGATTTTTAACTAGAAAATTATTGAAGCACCTAAAGCAAAATATGAATGCTGGAAGAGCAACCATAGAGATTTTAGCACAGTTTTTAGGTGAATGACATTTCTTACATGATCTATATTTTTTCTTCGAAAAGAAAAGCTTAGAGATTTGTTTCAAAGAAGCACCACTCAAGTTCACAACTCATTTTAACTCGTAGAGATGGCCTGGTTAAGGTTTGGGACTAGCTGGAGATGAGTTCATTACTTCAAGTTGAATCGAATAAAATCCTGACCCAACTCTCTCACATATTTCTAACAGCAACCCAAACCCAAAAAAAAACATAAAAGTAAATGTAATTTGTGTTCATATGGATCCCAGTGAGAGTTGAACATGGAAGCCCCATATCTATCTATATAAATAAATACGAAGCAGGGAGAGAGAGAGAGAGACAACCTTATCCATCACGCCAACTAACCGACTTTCAAACAATACTAATCAGAAAATAAGTTTTTCACACCGCTCCCTCTCACATGTGCATATGTTTTAACTTTTCTTTAAATTACTAGCTCAAATTTAAGCTTTAGGTCTATCTATGTATGGTTTATATGTATACTTAAAGTAGTATACTTGAAGCGGACTTTCTATGTATGTACTTGCTTGAAGTAGTGGATAAGATGTGGAAGATTAAAGATTCACTTGATTAATAGCTTGTTCATGGAAACTTCAGCTATGTGACATTGCTATTTAACTCCAAAAATAACGCCTCGGCCTCTGCTGAGAGAGTTAGGATATATGCAGGTCAAGTTTCAAAAGACAGATTAAACTAAGAGTGTAAGAAAGTCAAGCTGACTCGTGAGTCAACTCAAACTTACCTCGATAAATGGATCATGAGTGTTTGGTGGTACTTCTTTTATAATTTATAATTATATTTTCATTTTTTTAATGTTATTAAGTCCATAAAATTCAGCCTTTCAATATAAATTCATTTATTGCAAATTTCAACAACCTCCATACGTCTCTCCTGAAGTCTTCCCACCACACTTAGAAATCGTGTATGATCAATGTCATACGATACAACGGCCGAGAGGTCTACCTATCCCATCACACATAAAAAACACGCATAGCTATCGCTTGTAATTTTGCAATGTTTTCCGGTCACATCAAGAAAGATGCAAAGATATTTATATTTGAATTTTTCTTGTCATAAAAAAAGGTGCAAACGAGGCTTACCCATTGTGCTGCACACGTCACCTGAGTCTCATATACCGCACTAAAAAAGGTGCGCACAATTCACTAGTCGATTCACTTGAGATTTTGAAGGTTTTAAGAATTTGTAAATTTATATAAATGTGCACAATAAACAAAGTCAATGATGATAAGGTAAGCACACATTTTTATTTTCTCTTTTTTTCCTCTTGTTTCTTTTTTTCAATTCTCTTTTTAGAGAGAAAAAGGAGAAACTTAGAAGAAGAAGAAGAAAGAATAAGAAAGAGAGAGCATGAAGGAGAGAGTGGGAGAAAAAGAAATACTTAGAAAGGGAGAGAGAAAGAGAAGGTTAGAGACAGTGAAAGAGAGAGGAAGGGAGAGGAGATAGAGAGTGGGAGAGAGAGAGAGTTAGCAAGTGAGGGTAAGAAAGGGAAAAAAGATTTTGGCAATGCAATTTAGAATTTAAAGCGGTTAATTCAAATAAGATTTATATATAAAAAAATATTATGAAATAATAACAATTAGTAAAATTACATCTACTCATAAAATCAAAATAAAGTTGCAGAGAAGCAAGGACATCATATCCGTTAACATGAAAAATACAATTAAATAAAACTTATTTATTCTTGGTGACTCAAGCATAGCCTGAACACAAGTTAATTGGGGTCGTTGGCTCATTGCCTGCAAGTGGATTAATGCCTTAGTATATTTGCCTATGGGAAATGAAATAAATTTTGCTTGGTAAAAAAAAACTTACGCGCACTTCTTACAAGTTAGTTGTGATTGTATACCTTGATGCATCATTTTGAATTCTTTCCTCAATTGTTCCATGAACGTTATGGTCTTTATCATTGATGTGTGCTTAGCTCAGATAAACACGACTCCCTAATAAGTTCATTAACCAAGCTTATCAAACTGCAAGCTTAAGAGCGCATATATTAAATGAACTTAAGTTCGAGCTTGATGTGGCTCGAGAGATGATTCAATCGGAAACCCTAAATATCAATTTTTCTCCCTGCTTACTTAAACTAGCTCATAAGAGCCACCAATGTCAGTGTCTCACAAACCCCTTTTCATCTTTAAAAATCACGACTTCCTTGATGCCTTCTCCTACGAGTTCCAACAGTGACTTTCTTGCCACTGGTCTCACCATTGCATTCTCCAATGAACTCATGCAGTGAATTCTATATCGCTTCTCCAACGAGCTCCCGCCGGGACTCCCATCGTTGCTTGTATCAACGAGCTCCCATCATGACTTCCCCCAATGATGTCAATAATAAAATTATAAGAATAGATTTCTACCCCTTCGAAAGGCAAAAAAAAAGTTCATACCTATAACAAAACTTCAAAAATGGTAACGTCCAAGAGCATGAAGCGTTTCCTGTAAATTACTCTTATAAACCAAAAGCTCCTCTCTAACATAAATAATCAGTGTAGCAACATAAATAATTGCTGCAAGAGTGCAAACACAAGTCACCAATATAATAGTCACCTTACCAATGAGCCTGTCACTTCGAAGTTAAACAGATTAAAATAGTACACTATAAAGAGCTAAGATACTTTTAAACAAGATGATCAAGATAATGATGAAAGAACAAAAAGTAAAGCAGACCCTTCATGCTGATTCTTACTTCACAAGAGTGGTTAATTAGATGAGCAATGCTTCCCGCTTTAGTGGCATCAATGACTCGCTCATTATCAATGCGAAACATGTATGTCCCTGCACCCTACAAAAGTAAAATTTCAAGTATCAGTACTATACAGCTTACAACCATTCCATCATGCATAATCCATATGGGGGGTGTACCCAACAGATGAGGCGTCCCGCCAATATGAGCCTATCCTTAAATTTGTAAATAGATTATTTATATGGCTCCATCTTGAGACCTTCAATTACAGAGGTTACCTAACCATTAAAATGCAAAAATACCAAACTCCTTCTAAAAGGTTTAATCCACTGACTATTTCAACTAAAAACTGGGATTTAGATATTGAACCCATGTATTTAATATGACTGTAGATAGAATGATCGGATAGAAACAATAAACCACAAAAAAAATCCAACTAATTTGAAAATTTGTAGCAATTAGCCACCAAGTGCGCCATATCTCACATAAATATATTCTAAAAACCCATTTTTCACCTTTGCCAGTACATCTTTCAACGAATTAATTAATGGAATCTTCATGAGGAGAAAAATTAAAGTATTAGTGCAATAGATCAATCAAGAAAGAGGTAATGGTCCTAAGAAATCATCAATAAAGTTTCAAGATTGTGTGTTTCTTCAAACAGTTCAAAAGCTTAATTAGAACTCTAGTAAACGAGGAAGTGACTAAAACTAGATGAGGGACAGGTCACAGGTGCACTGCATAAACACTATTCTTAAGACAAATATCAAATATTCAACCATGTCATGGCAGCTTAATCTTACATCAGAGAGAAAAGAACATTTCATACACTACTGGGAATAATAGCATTTAATATTATTCCAAACCAATCATGCAACTACTGACAGAAACATGTAATAGATCCAATTGCAGTCAAATTGATGAAACTCAAGATGAAGGGCAATATCTGCAACTAGCAGATTCCAAAACTGTCATAGCTAACTTAATTTTAGAGGATAACAGTGGTCTACAATTTTTTTATAATTACCATAGTAAATATATTTCACATTGGATGCTATAATGAACTTTTAAATCATAGATAAATATTACAATTAGAACAGAAAAATGGTATTATATCAAAATTTCTTTAGACGGGATGTATTTGATGATACTATAGTCTTATTACAATTAGTTAAAAGCTAGTCTTATTATTTAGAAAACTCTAAATGGGTGGGAATTGGCAAATCACCTTTCCTTTAAGATCAAGTTTTAGAAACATGGTTCAACGTTATTTAGATTATTATTACCAAGACAACAATAATATCTATAAAATATAACTCATTTGATTTAATGTTAATTTGCTTAAAGAATTAAATGTTATTTAGATCATTCATAATGATGATCAAGGTTTAAAATTGCGCAATCGGGTATTAAGGCGTTTTTTTGTTCATGAGGTGGGGCATAAGCCTCAAGGCGTTTTGAGGCGTAAGTCTCAAAATAAAAAAATTGCATTACAACAAAATAAAGGTTAAAAGTAATTTTTTATATAATAACCAAATAATATGTCAGGATGATGACATTAACTTTCCATTGAACTATGGAGTGAAAAATTGACATACATATAAAACAAAAAAGTGAACAATATATAAAGTGACAAATGATAAATTATGTGAAATAGAATTAAAATTTAAATATTACAAGAGCAAAATAATATTAAATGCAAAAAATTGCATAAAAGTATCATATAACATCAAGTTTAACTCCAAATTCATTCTTTCTCAATTCCCTACTTATCCATATTTAATTCATAAAGAAATCTTAAATAGTTGACAAAAACTTAGAAAATATATGTATTGTCATCACTGAGGGGATCTTTATTTAAGTCGTCATTATAACAAATTGATCTCTCTCATGCCTCATACTGTGAAGTCTAATGACTCCAAATCTGCTTCTTCATCCACTGCAGACATCTTTCTCTTTCATAAATATTTTTTATTAACATACAGATCAGATAATACTCAAAACATTTTAGTAGAGGTGGTGTTGGTATCTAGCTTTCAAGTGATTCCTTATGATGGCTAAGATGATGGTAGTTGTGGCAAAAATGGTGGGCTGGAGATCAAGACAAATCGAGCTGAAGTTTTTGCGGTTCTGGGGTGCATGAATGCGAGATTTGTTTGAGGCTTTTGCATAGAATTTAGATAAGTTTTAATGAAAAAACATAAATAGGGTGACATGTAAGCCTCACGCTAGGGAGACGAGGCGCGCCTCAAGGCAAGACTCAGCCAAGTTGAGTCGTAAGCCTTATAGAAAAAAATTGAGTAAGCCTCTAGACATTTTTCATTGGAATTGCGCTGAGGTGTGCCTCAAGGCGAGCCTCATTTTGCACATTTTAAACAATGATGGCTATCACCTTTTTTACCTCTTTTTTTCTCTTTGGCCGTTAAGATTAAGTTATCAAGATAGCATCTAATTTGGTTTGCATCTAAATTTCCCCAATCTTGTCTCAATGTGAAAGACAAAAATAAACTAAATCCTTTTTTAGCATGAGATAATAAAAAATAGCATTACATCAAAGAAAACACCAAACCAAACAATCCCACAATATCTATTGGTGGTTGATGATCCTAGCTTGAAGGAGAGAAAATTGGATGTGTAGGGAGATCAAAGATCCTAAAAAAATATTATCATGCCAAAATTTTCAAAAATGAAATCCTTATAGTTCACCAAAAAAATACTAAACCTCTCTGTAAAATTAGGAGTTCATTCTTTTAATGTGATATATTTCATTTAATCATATTTCTCCAATGTTCAAAATAAACTAGGATTTATTTAAACATGAGGTCTAAACATTCTAGGGGCAAATATTACTCTCGACAAGGTGGGGGGCGGGGATGATTGGACGAATGGAGATAGACTTGATCAGTACTCAAATTTAGGCCATATCCAAAATACCAAGGATCTAGTCTATCAATATTAGAGAGTCATAAGCTATCAAGTCCAAGGAATCTAATTAGCAACTATTGGTTGCCTCCTATTGAGTATCCCAAACAAACTAGTGTGAATGCATGTGAATTTTGGTTTTGATTGGTGAGTTTATTAGCATAGGAGCTAGTTAGACTGTAGATAGATTTTGAGGTTGACAACAATTGGAACACCAGAAATTAAATATGATGAGGCTTACCAATATATTTGCTAGTTACCTTGAAGATCAAAGCTTATAACATTTGCGTTGGCATTCTTGGATAAGGGACTTAAGACTCAGATATCAAAATTGGCTCAAAATATGGCTCATACAACCTTGCCCTATAAATAAAGCAGCTCAAAGACTAAGGTTTAATACTTTAATTTATTCAATGAGCCTGATAGTTTTGTTTCCATCTGATGAATTACTATGAAATGGGGACTAAAATCTTTTGTAATGCTCGAAAGTTGAGCAATCATTTTAAATTTGGATAGAAGTATCAAAATTGATAACTGTATATGTTAAAATGACAATGCGTTGAGACCTATTACAAGGTTTAAGAACAATCCAACGCAGGTGTTTGTCTTAAATCTATGGTGGCTTTTAAATGTGCGAAAATCGTCCAAAAAATGGTAACTCACTAAAACATTTATCCCACTATGTGGGGTTAGCTACTTGAATTATTTTTCTCCATTATAGCCAAATTCTCATTTAAATCTAATAAAAAATGTTATTTCAAATACTTTCTAAATAAGTCTTTTTAGGTATAATTCTACTTTTCTTAACATGGGAGGATCTAATACATCTACTCTCCTAATCGGGTCATCGTAAGGCTGACATTTTATGCGACCGAGCCAACTAAGGCGCTCTCTCTAATTTAGCCACCAATGGAGCTACTCCAACCTTTTTAGCGTTTAGGCACGTTTTGATTCTATCACTAAGTGTAAAACCATTCATTCACTTGAGCATTCTCATCTCTACAACACTTAACTTGATTTTGTGCTCTTCTTTTAATGGCCAATATTGTGAGTCATAAAAATTGCAGGTCTCACCACCATCTTATAAAATTTTCACTTAAGTTAAAGGCGTACTTTTTTATAACAGAACAAGCCTAATGCATTCTCTCACTTCAACCATTCATTTTGAACTCTACTAATAATATCACCATCTATTTCACCATCTCACATTGAACAACAAACCTAAAGTATTTAAAAAGTGCACTCTTTTTAATGACTTGATCACTCAATGTCAAAATCCCATCACTCATCTATTAGTATTAAAATTACACTCCATGTTTAGGTTTTAAATCTACTGAAACAAAAACCTTCAAACTCTTAGGTTGACCACCATAATTCAAGTTTTCCTTTAACTCCCTCTCCATTCTTATTAACAAAAAGAATATCATCAGCCAAAAGCATACACCAAGGTACATTCCCTTCCAAATGTCTAGAAAGAACATCCATGACTAAAGCAAAAAGACATGGGCTTAAAACTGATTCTTCATGTAATCCAACAGAAATAGGAAAATGCTTGGTCAAACAACTTATACTCAAGTAATAGCTCCTGCATACATAACCTTAACAACTTGAATATAAGAATTATTAACTCTTTTCTTTCCTAGAACTCTCCAAAGAAATTCTATTAGAATTTTATCATATGCTTTCTCGAAATCAATAAATATCATATAAGGATCCTCATTTTTCCATCAAAACTCTCAACAAATATATAGCTTCAATAGTAGACCTACCCGACATGAATCCAAACTTATTTGAGAAACATTAGCATCACATAATAACCTATGCTCAATTACTCTCTCCCTTAATCTCAATGTATGACATACCAACTTAATTCTTCTATAAGTCGCACTCTTGTGCATCACCTTTATTCTTATAAATAGGAACCAACATACTACTTCACTCACGTAGCATCTTTTTAAATGCTTAAATTATTTTAAACATTAAAAAAAATCGTTTGCATCCACTAAATGTAAATGCATGAACTGATCATGAACAAGTATTTAAGTAGATCATATGGCTTGGTTTAAAAATTAAAATAAGGTGCTATTCATTTTGTAGTACACCATTGATCCATTTATTTGCAGAAAACCACTATCCCAACAGCATCATATCCATGTCAAGTCATTTACCACTCATAGGAGCAAATACAAGAGTTTGATGAGGAAGAGAGCTGTTCCGATATAAAATCTAGTGAAATGCACGAGAAGATACTACTTAAAAGAGCAAGGACTTTCTGGGAGGATTCTCTTGATCTAAAATACCTCCACACGTGACAAGTAAGAAATAGCTTGAAACTCAACGAACTAATTTGTTACTTATTAATGGTAAATATCTCCATGAGAAAAAGAAGTATCAAGCTCATTTGTCAGAGGTATAGTAAGAAGAAACTAAGAGGCATACTACTTGACAAAATGCAGCAGGAAAGATTATAAAGAAAAAAAAAACAAAAGAAAACTTGCCAACCCGACTATCGCTGACATCCAATGGGAAAAGTTCATAAAGAAATGAATAGCGCGTCCAATGGAAAAAAATATCCGCTTACCACTAGTGAATTGTATATGCAATGTTCCCTTATATCCGCAATTGATGGTCGGACAAGTTCACCAGAATATTCAATGACCTGCGACAAAATCTGTGAGTGCAAAAATAAAAAAATAAAATAATCAAGTATCAAAATAGATCACAAATATGCTTTCTCGGGTATACCATATCTCCAGCCCTGTGTGGAAGCTTAGCAAAAACGCCAAATCCATGGATTCTTGATTTCCCTAGTAATATCAAATCGGAGTTAGAATGCATAAAAGGCAATTTGCTAGCAAAATAAAAGAACTATCATAAACAATATCCTAAGAAACTAAATAATAACATCAAGATCCAACCAGCAATAAAGATTTAAACATATATATGATGCGGACATCCGATCATGAAGATTTTCAAAGGAGGAGACGATGATCGACGGCCGAAATCATTCCACCTTATCTTAATTTGTTATTTGTAATTTTATTTTTATTATGAATTTTTCATTTTACTCTTACTTAAGATGGTCGTCCTATGTAAGCCCTAGGGGCATATGTGTCTTGTTTTAATTTCTTAGGCCTATATATAGAGGCCCTTGCTTATGTAATGTAATGATGGATTATTAATAAAATTTTGTTTGCACTTGTGTTTTTTGGAGAGAACTTGGGTGAGATTCCTATGGGAGGGAAACAGAGTTCCCACCAGCCGCAGGATGGGTCCGGGCTCGTGGCTTGAAGTCCCTTGGAGAAGGGCAATGTATTACCCGTCAGCTGCAGGATGTGTCCGGGCTCACGGTTGTATCTTTCTTTCCCTAAATCCTTTTCCCCTCCTCCCTTGACCGCCGGCCAAAATCCCCCACTTGCACCGGCCGATTCTCCCACAAACCACTCTATAGCCACAAGCATCATCCAATTTATCCATATCAACCGCCGGTCATAAACCACTCCACCACCACCTCCTAGTCGGCCACCCCATCTCCTCCCATCCTCCTAGCCGCCAGCCACCCCCATCCCTTTTTTCCTCTTAATGATGATTTCAATCAACATTAATACCTACCAAAATTAGCCTACCTAATTTGGGGTAAGAATTAAATATATGAATTTCAAATACTTTCCTAAAATTAACTTAAGCTAAATTAGAAAAGTTCCTAAATTTAAGTCTAATTTGATTTTAAATTAGATTTAATTTAATTACCCTTTTCCTAATTTAGAATCATGATTTAGGAAGTTTTAAATTCCCTCCCAATTCCCCTCTCCCCATTAATTTCACCCATTATATCCTTCCTTAACTGTCGACCTCCCTCTCACTTCTCATTAGATCCCAAATTAAATCCCCATAAGTTATTTCCTTATTTAGCCTCTTGTTATTTGGAAAGAATTTGAATTCAAATTCATAATAATTTGAATTCCAAAAGCTTTCTAATTAAACCAACTCTCATTTAGGAAACCCCTCAAATTTCTCAAATCTGAAATTAATTTTAGATTTAATTACCCCATCACATTTAATACTATGGTCCACATACATTATATGTGGACATTTCTCCTCCCTCCCAATATGGCCGGCCCCATCTCTCCCTAATTTTAATTATTTCCTTCCTTATTAAGGAATTCAATTAGGGGAACAATTAATCACCTATTTATCCTTCCCTTCATCTTATTTGAATTTCAAATTCAAATCCCTTAATTAAGAGAAATCTGAAATTGAATTTCAGATATTTAATTTTTTTTATTACCCCCCTCCACTTCGTTCTACATCAATATATAAACATTTGCTTTAAATAAATGAATTTATAAAAAAAATTATGATTCGAAAAAACAGTTGTATTGACACATGAAAAAAGATAATTTGCTTTGCTGTATATGTTAAATGATGTTTACCTCAATAACCAATTCTAGGTTGACTCAACCAAGGCAAATATGGTACATGAAAATGCAACATGCAAATGCTATTTGAAATGTGTCAACCAAAAGTCAAATCGGCCAAAAAACATTCATTCACGAAACACATTGAGCCAATGCGTTCGAGACAAAAACAGCTTAAATAAATACTCAACCACATGGATGAAAAATGAAAAAGTAGCCCATGCACTAGGTGAGGACATGACTTTGATTTGCACGAGCAACGAAAATTTTATGAAAAATAATAATAAAAAAAATATTATTTTCTTATTATTACTATTAAGAAAAAAAACTCTCTAATCCCTTTCCCATTTCATTCCATGTTGAATCGTGCAGCACCATGACTCCCCATCCCTCATATGAACCTTTCCTCTCAAATCAATGCTACCCCACGACCCACCATCCTTCTACAAACTATACTTCTCTCTCATACTCTCCCGCTTCATCTCTCTCACACATGTTCTCCTCATCAACCCCCCTAGTCTCTTGCACTCACTAAGCCAATGCATTCAAAACAACAAAAACAGCTTAAATAAACACTCACGTTGTTCAGGTCGCTACATGGACGAAAATTAGAAAAGTTGCCCAAGCACTAAGGACACGAATTAATTTGCACGAGTGACGAAACTTTTATGATGATGATGATAATGATGATGATAAATATTCTTTCCTTAATATTACAATTTAGGTAAAAAAAACTTTGAATCCCTCTCACATTTCATTCCCCGTCGAATCATTTCCCGCACAAAGACTCCCCATGCCTCACATGAACCTCTCAAATAAATGCTACCCCACAACCCATCATCCCTTGACGACAAAGGCAAGGAAGTCGCGACTTGCAACTCATTGGAAGAAGGTATCAGCCAAACCAGCAACTTGTTAAGTCAAGCCTCACACCTAAGCTTACTAAAAGAAAGCTTCTATAAGAGCAATAGTAAATGAGAGAGAATAGGACTCTCTTAGATAGCTCTTGGATGGTGAGTTGTGGGGAACCTTCTGTTGTTCCATAGTCTCCTCCAAATCTCCATGTAAGAATGTGGTTTTGACATCCAAACGCTATCATTGTAATTGACTTCCAAACACTCTAAGAGAGCTTCAAGTGTAATTGACTTCCAAACATTCTCAACTCCTTGTAACATGCTACTTGTCTACTCCATATCTCTTGAGAAGTTTTGAAGTCAATTACACTTGAAGGACACATATTGATAAGGAATGTAGTTGTGCTAACTACCTTTGCACAAAATGACTTAGGAAGCTTTGCATTGTCCAACATACACCCCACCCTCTACAGAATGGTCCTATTGAACCTTTCGACCAACCCATTATGTTGAGGAGTGTCTCACAGTTAGGTATCATGCTATTACATGCACCTTACAAAATTCCTTTAACTCATTGGAGCAAAATTCCAATCCATTATCAGTTCTAATCTTTTTAATCTTCTTCCCTACATGATTCTCCACAAGAACCTTCCATTCATTGAACTTATCCAAGGCTTCATTCTTGCTTTTTAAAAAGAAAACCCAAAGCTTTTTAGAATAATCATCAATTAGAGAAAGAAAGTATATTGCTCCTCCATGAGACGCATGCTTGGTTGACCCCAAAAATCAGCATGTACATAATCCGAAACTCTCTTAGAATCATGTCTTGCATTCGAAAATTTCAGCCTACTTGCTTTGCCAACTACGCAAAGCTCACAAAAGTCAATTTCATTGGGCATCAAGCTCCCAAATGCACCTTGCTTGTGCAACTCATCCATTCCTCTTTGGCTAACATATCTCCCAACCTTTGATGCAATAATATAGTCAAGCTAGCTTGTCCACCAATCAATGTTTTGCCTTGCAATATGCATACACTATTCATCCTCACACCTTTGAATATAACAAGTGAACCCTTGCACACCTTGAGACTTCCTCCATTGCACTTAAATGAGTAGCCATTTTTGTCATATACTCCCAAAGAAATTGGATTTCTTTTAAGTTTTGATATATATATCTCACTTGCTTGAGAATCATCTCCTATCCATCATAGAGCATCAATCGAATGTTGCCTTGCCCTTGGATCTAGCATGATTTTTTGTTTCCTAAGTACACCAAACCTCCTTCCTTCTCTTTCCCAACTCTTCAAACCACCCACGATTACATGTGGTACGAGCACCTGGAATCAAGTATCGACTCCTTGCTAGGCTCAATATTTGATATTACAAGGGCATCTGAACTTTCATGCCCTTCCTCCACACATGAGGTATCTCGACTACTCTTTTCTTTATCTTGATGTTTGGTCTTCAATTTCGAGGATTATCTTTTCAACCTGTCCTTCCTTGTGACAAAAGAAGCACTTCATCTTGCCTTTAGACTTGGATCTAACATGTTTCTTAGCTTTGGACTCCCACTTCTTGGGTCTACCTCTCACAGCAAGGGCATCAATCGCCTCTTCATGCTTCACCTCAACCCCCCTTTGAATCTCATTGGAGTTGAGCAGAGCCTTGACTTTGGTCATAGCAAGAGTCTCCTTCCCATACAACATGTCCACAAAATGCTCAAACCTAAAAGGTAATAAGCTTAGTAGAATGAATGCTTGATCTTCATCTTCAATCTTATGCTTTTCAAATCCAAAATAATCCAATTGAATTCATCCAAGTGCGCCTTCAAGAGCTTATATTCATACATTAACAAGGTGTATAACTTCTTCTTGAGATAAAACCTATAGGCTAGAGAGTTTTTGAGATATAGAGATCCCAAATTTGCCCAAATCTCTATAGTCATTCCTTTATCAACCCTTAGAACTTCATCTTCTAGGCTCAAAAGGATTGCACTATGTGCCTTATTAAGCACATCTCTGCGTAATCTTTCTTCTATCCCCAAGATCCCTTCCTCTGATAAGGCTGCATCAAGACCTTGATGGACTAAAAGAGCCCTCATCTTCAACCTCCATTGGTTAAAATCATTGAGACCTATAAATTTCTCAATTACAAACTTAGCCATGGATATCTTCCCTTCAAGAATGTTGCGGCAACACTACGGTCCAATTGTTATCCATAGAAAAGAGCCCATAAAAGGCTTCCACCACCGGTTACCTTCTTCTCCTCCACCTGTTGTCCAAAAAGAACAACCTAAAAAGCTTCCACTGCCGGTCACCTTCTCCTCCATCTGCTATCCACAAAACAACCAAGAAACTCCACCTCTTGGATGGAATTTCCTTCTCTTGATTTCAAGAAACACAATCCGCCTTCCCCTTGATCTATCTTGACCAAGCTTTGATACCTATTTTTGAAAACCTTGAAGGAAGAGATTTTGAATTCCTACCTTGTTGTTTTGAATTGAATCCACCACTGATTCCTTTCCTCCTTGTCCAACAACAACACCTTCCTCCTTCACTGTCAGTCCCCCTTGGCAGTTCCACTGCAGCCTTCTTCCTTCCCTGCCAAGGAGCAAGAGCCAACAGCTCTCTGCTGCTTCCACCGAGAGAGATGAGAAAAATAGAGGAAGAGAGGGATAGAGGAGAACTCACGGTTTTTAGAAGGAAAAAGAACCGATTCTATTCTTCATTCACCTTTTCTCTTTTTTTAAGCAATACAAGTTACTCCTATTTATACAAAACAACCCAAAGGGTCAAAAAGTAAAATAGCCTAAAAACAAAGACTTAAAGTAAAAATAGAATTAACATGTCAAATAAAAACCAACATCTAACAAATATCATCCCATTCATTGATTTATCTTGCATAGAGATGTTCCACACATGGTAGACATAATTGCATCGAAGAATCTAGTACAATGAAAAAAAAAAAAAGATAAGTTAAAAAAACACAGTTTAGGAAATGTTTATTTGGAGTTTCTCCAAGAGGGAAGAGAATCATTAGCCGCGTACTACCACCCTTGAAATTTCCCCAATTCATTAGAAAACTTCTCACTTTATGTTTTTAAAAATGATGGATGCAACTCAAAAAGATCTTTAATTTCCATCACAGTGTATCACCCTGTTCTTTCATTCCTTTCAGCATGAAAAAATTTACCTTTGAATTTCAAGAGAAGATTATGCATCTTATCCCAGTATTTCACGACTGGCCTCATAAATCCTTCCTTTTTATTATTTTTTTATGGGTTGTAATTGACGTTAATGAAGTAAACCTTTCACAGGGTATACACCCTTTAAAGCAAAGAAAGTTAAAAAATTAAATAACACTTGAGATAAAAAAACAGTTTTTTATCAAGCAAATGCAAATGCAGCAGCATCTATCTAAAACAATCTTCTTCCAACTATTAAAATTTGTCAGCTGTGCATGTAAATTGAATGATCAGAGTAATGGCTGCATCCACCATCCTACATGTAAAAAGGTGATAAAAGAACAACTGAAGAGCATACCGATCAAGAATTCACGCATGATTGAGCAAAGAATAAAAATTTGTTGGTTAGTTTGAAGATTTACATTACAGAGGCAATTCCAATTGGCATTGCTTTCAAAAGAATGCAATCACTATAGCTACTAAATTGTAAATTTAAGAACAATTCTGAATAAGGAGAAAAAACAGAACTTACCAAATGCTAATCGTATTCTAAAAGTTGACTTCATGTTTTCATACTTCTCAGACATTGAAGAAACTTTTACAGAAGTTTCAGGTTGACTTTTCATTCTTAGATCACCAGATGAACAAATTGTTTGCATAGATTTGTTGCTTGAAATGCCAGATGGAAGGCCATTTTGGCAATAACCAGTCACAAGATAAGGCCGGTTCTCAACATATGATCGTTTGTTTGAAGAGGCAGCAAGGATTTGTGGAGCTTTTTGTCCTCTTCTTCTTTCAAAATTATAAGGCTCTGAAAAGAAAGCAGCACAACAACCAATTAAAAAGGCTGACTTAAACTACATAATAGAAAATTATAAATTGAAAAAATGCTAGTAGATGAAGGATACTTTTAGGTACAGAAACTTACAAGATGTATTTTTGAATTAAAATAAATGGAGAACAACAACTCAAAATTTTTCTTCTTGCAACTTAAGCACTTGGGAGCAGATTCGAAAAAAAACAAGTCTTGTACAGATTAAAATCTAACAGCCTAGAAGAATATACCTGTTCTTGCACAACCAGAAAGATTGGATATAGGGACATGGCAGGAATCACGTTTTTCAAGCAATGTTAGACCCTCATCAATGGGCGTACGCTCACTAGATGGCTGGCTATGCTTCTTGCAAAATGAAACTAGACGAACACATTGATCATCATCATCATCATCAAGCGACATCAAATGAATTTTGTTCTCATCTTCTAGCTGAAAATATAAATTAATGGTGCAGTCAAGCAAGTTTATTTTATCACAATCGTGACATTACCAAAAAGGGTAATCAATGGGACTGGGAAGAAAGATACACAAAAAGAGGCCAAATAAAGAGCTACCTCAACACAATAACCAGCAGCACGGGCACAGAGAGGATGATATGCAATGCAGCAAGTATTGTTAGAACACTGTCACAGACATAAATTACTTCTATCAAAATTTCATAACAAGAATGCAGACTAAATAAACTATAGCGAACAAAACGAAACAAAAAAGAACTTCGTGAATAAAGTTGAAACTATTTGGATGAAAGAAAAAAATTATGAATTCTTTTTGAAGAGCAAAAAACTTTTCTGCTACTACAGGAAATAAATAAACATAGAATTATGATGAGGCAAGGTATACTTCATGCTTACCTGGATGCAAGCCCCATAAGTTACATGGCAGATGCTACACAAAAGTTTCCACCTATCCTGCCAAGTTTAAGGGTTTTGGATAAGTTATATAACAAAGATAATCTGAAAGATAATCTGGAAAAATAGTTGATTGCCATATTACAACCACAGCGAATCAATAAAGTAGTGATAACCTTATGTATTCTGTCTATCCCATCAATAGGTTCCATTTTCTTCACGTCAGATAAGCAAGTTTCTGAAGGGGAGACTACACCATATTAATGGCAAAGCGCCAATCAATTTTTACATCAAACTTCAAATCATACTAAGATTTTTCTGACAAACCAGGAATCCATATAGCACAAGCCAGGTGGGCCCATTGACCATCAGTTGTAGGTTTCATTGCGCCACCTGATTCCAAAGAAACATTAGTGGAAGTCATATATGCAAAACAAAGAGGCAAAGAGCATAAGTATTGCAAACTGAAGGTCAGAAAAAAACCTATGACAGGGCAGAGACAGCATAGCGGAGAAGATCTAGGTGCCCCATTACGACATAACTTACAGTGCCATAACTCCCCATCCATGGGTCCTAACTCACCATAGCATCTGGCATGGACCTGAAATGGTTAAGAATTACAAAGAGGAATCATGTAAAAGCAAACTGACAACCTTAAACACAAAAATCAGGCAAATCAAACTTTATACCATCATACGACATTTATCACACTGCAAGAAGAGATTTTCCTCATATTCCTGAAAACGGCAGCAAAGTTAGAAGGAAACAACCCATGTTATACATAACATAAATACATATATTGAATCAATGCACATCATAGTAATGAAAAAATGTGAAAAAAATGAAGAAAAAAAATTTTATCACCTACCTCATCCATATGGCAAACATTACACCTGTCAAGATCTTTCCAATCAATTCGAACAGCTCTATAGCCAGCAGGTAGACTTTCACCATTCTTCAAGCCTGACCTACACTGAAAAGAAATATAACATGTTGATGCTGATCGTAAGATTTAGAAGGAAAAAAAGATACGGCTAAGCATGGATATCAATGCTTACAACTAATTACATGTGATCTACAAATAAAAATCAAATAACAAAACATCAACTTCTTTTAAGTCAAGGAAACATTACAAGATATTAATGTAAAAAGTTCAGAGGATTTGCATTGACACGAATAAATGATTTACATAATCTAGCATACCTAAAAAAAGAAATAATTAAAAAGAAATAAGCTAGAATGTCCTGTAAATATTCATGTCACCATTAAATTCAAAATATCTACTATAATGGAAAGCTGACAATTAATTGACACATTCAGCGAAATCGGAGACGAAAAAATAATGAACTTTTGTATTATGTTCTACTTGAAAGAGGAAAAGGAAGGAAGGGTCATTTCAAACAGTTGTAGGAGGTGAAAGTAGAGATTTGAAACCTGCTCAAAGAAAAAGAAGAAGACATATAAGGTAAGACAATTTTATTTGGTGAAAAGAGATATTTATAACTTTCAAGGTAAATTATTAAATTTTGAAATGATGTTTGGCAGTAAAGAAGATGAGGATGGGTGAAATTGTACAATCTTGTGCAACAAAGAAGAAGAGTAATCAGATGTAATCAAAATAATTTATTTATGCTTCATTTCGATCTTTTCATGAAATATAATGGATAGGCAATGCAAGAGTAAATGTAGCTTAATAATTTGGGAGAAATTTGACATTCGAGGCGACCGATGTTATCTTTGACAAAGTTCGATGCATCTTGCCTTACCTTTTGATGACATCAAGGAGTTCAAAGTTTCTTTGACAACGTTTGACTGTTTCAAGATAAATTTCAATGTAATTAATATTGTTGATGTTGTGCTCAACAATGGAAGAATTAAGTAGTATAATCGAGGAAAAAGTACTGCAAGCAAGTAATCTCAGGAAAAGATTAGATAAGGGTTAATTTGTTAATGAAAATTTAATTTGAATTTAATTATAAATATAGTTCTAAACTACCTACAGAAACAGAAATGATTACGTTCTTATAGTTAGGCTGTATTCTAACAAAGACTAATTTAAATTTTAAAAAACATAGAGGTGACAGTTTCAACCTTCGCAAAGAAAACAAAGTGGGTGATTATGCTTTACAATATAGCATTTACAGTTTATTTCGATTCTGTGCATTTACTAATACATCATCTTACACATAATAATAATTAATTAGAATAAATGATATTTTACATTAAAATGAGAAACAACAAATGATTGTGTTACGATGTAGTTCATAAAAATGTGATAGCTTCATAATGAAATTACTATGCATATGTAAATGAAAATGAAAGGAGAAAAATGAATTATGGCATGAAATGAAAAAAAAATATGCATGTAGTACAAGAGTCCCCTATGATATTGGCTGGGGAGAATCAACATATTCATGCACGATAAATGCGAAAATAAATGAAAATAGAAATATAAATGAAAGTACCTTAATTGGTACTATTTAGACGATGTTCCTGAAATAAATGAATTATAAAAAAGTCAAGAGTAAAATGAAAAACATGTTAAATAATGATTATGTAAATCAAAGATTTATAGTACTTATATTTTATTGTTACAAAATAAAAATTTAGATCATACGACATGATTATTTATACACATGATGCATTATTACTATAACACAATAAAATAATAATTGACAACCAAGTTTGATATTGAAAACTCAACCATTAAATTAAACCTTTCATATAAATCCCTTATCAAGTAAAGGTTGATTGAGAAGGTTATGTGTACAAACAAGTGAGCTCCAACTAAAAACAGATAAGAACTATTTTATTTGTATGTTTAAATTGAAAATCATTTTAATAGCTCTTCAATTAAAGTTTAGATATTTATTTTAGTTGAGTGCTTCATGTTATTGAAAGAAGTGAAATTCGTCAAACCGTCTGTTCAGGTCTCGACATTCGAGTCTTTGAGTTGGGTCATAACACCACAATCACAAGTCAATAGAATAGGTCTTAGTAGTCATTTTCATTCATTCAACAGAATATTACAGTTGAATATCGACAAAATCACATTTTAAAAAACAACTACAACAGATGAGCTCCAAATTAACTAATGATAGGCTACTCATATAATATGCCACATGAATCCAAGAAATATCAGGACTCTTTATAGCTAGATACGGTTATCTCAATCAAGAGAAAATAAATTATATACAACAATAACAAACCATCATGAATTGATAGAATCTTAGAATCCAAGGCAAGTCCCATTCCCAATAATCCATTTCAAAGTACCTTCCTCCCTACCCCCCAAGCATCAATTCATGTCTTATGCATAACACTGCTTTATCCATGGGAAAACCTTAAAGTAGATAACCTACCGTAGCAATGACTGTAGTGTGCATAACGCTCAAAACATTAATATCACCAAGAATGCAAAAGGAAAAACTTTGCAACGACAACAAAAGAAATCAGATCATTGTAGCGCATATATTTATTAAAACTTGCCATATTTCTTATTTTTTTAGTATGTGATGTCACTTGTTTAAAAATTATGGTACCACTGAGTTGGGATAAAACTTACCTAATGATGATTATAACAAGAGGCACAATCTCCTAACGCTGAGCTTAGAGTTTTAGCTTGGAAAAGAATAGATGAAGAAAAAAATTTAAAATAGTCAGCCCCTACATTAATCACTGAAAATCACATGTCAAAAAGAGAAATGAATGGCAGGCGTAACAACACTACTTGCTACATATCACAATCATAAACAACAAGCATCACAGCGTGGTAGGCGACAGTACCAATCAAACCAGAACTTTAATAAGATGAATTAACAGCGAACTTGCTGAAAACAATACATGATATAACTAGACCAAATATCTGAATACTAAGGAGAAACAGATAAATCATGCATATTTCATAAAAGATGGCGAGCACTTTATTGTAAAACCTCCCAACGTGCCTGAATATGCTTGGATATCAATGGAACTGAGAAGCCAAACATGTAAGTACCCGACTTTTGCAAATCACATCCTTCCACTTCAGCAAGAGAACCATGGCCTTGCATGCACTTTATCCGCTCATAGACTTCCTTCCAACAAGCAGTTGGATTTGATCCGTCAATCTGGTGTAAAAAGTAATATTTATTAAGAATAAAACTTCTAATTACATGTGACTTAATACGATAGATATCGCAATGCAGTCCCCTCCTTTTTGCCACACTAAAGCTGGGACAAGTGGGCCAGGAAACTTCCTGCAAGTGTGTGGCTCATTTGGAGAGCATGCAAGTTGCAAATGTAGTTGCCAATCAAGCAACAAGACTTGGGCCAGTCAGGATTTCTTTGGTAGTGTAACAGAAGCTGCAATGATCCCAGTAAGAAAGTTGGGAAGGACAGCAGCTTCAAGAAAAGAAATCAGCACAACAGCCTGCTCCCGTCTCTAGTAATCTTGACCCTATTTTCTATTTGAATTAAAACTCAAGGGAAAGCCAAGAAATTAGCAGCACATTATGTTGCTGTACTTCAAAACACTAGGCTTTCATCCCAAATACCAGAAGATGATATAAAGTATTAAGCAGTCAAGGACATGCCACAACTATAAATTTGTGCTAAGGTAGACAGGACCTGCTCTCCATCATCTGTTGTAACTCTGAATAATGGCCGAGATATTGACTTGGGATTCCTCAATACTTCCATTTTATATACAGCTATCACACTTGGATCTGAAAAAGAAACCAGAATTTAGATGTTTCCATGTCTTACAAAAGAAGCTAAAAATAATTGAACGGAGGAAATCATGCATGGTTCTCTTGCAAGGCTGAATACATTGAATTCTAAATGAGTCCAGAAATCATAACCTATCAAAGACGCAAATTTCCTATAAGCAGTATATCCTTCAGGCCAGACTTGCTGTTTCCTATGGAAATAAGCTGAATCTTGGACAACCCTTCCTGCAAAGAAAGTAAAACAAGGTAAACATAAATGGTACTAAGCAAAAGATAAAACTTCATTTTATATGAAACTATAAAACTGAAAATTATGTAATCAGATCCAATAAAGTGTGTATTTAAGAAAATACCTAAACTAGTTACACGAAGATTTCCTATTTCAATTGGTAGATAAATGCATTCATCTGCAAGTTGCGTTACTTCATCCCCTGAAAGGTCTACAAATGCAGAGACACCTTCCTCACTCTCTTCAGAAGCAACCTTACCATGACTAACACCGGTAGATTTCTGAAACCGCAGCATTCTCTCTGGAAGCTGCTGATTACTTAAGTACCTGTGCCAAATCGCATCATTTCAATCACAAATAAAATCTTTGTCAGTAATAATTATGAGGAGGCACACATTAATAAAATAACATTGAAGAACCGACATTATTATAAAGAAAACTATGACATGCAAAAAGAAGAGAATATAAATAGCCTAGAAGAGATAATAATTGCTCTGAAAGTTCAAGGTGTCAGGATACCAAATTTATAACCCTACCACATTGTTCTTATAAGCAATCATAAAGCAAAGGAAAGCATAACCAAATCACATTCCTACATCCAGCTTCATCATATAACCCTATCTGATCCACTTGCACTGCCTCACAATCACATCTAGCTCATAATCCTCATATGAGATCACTTTCAACTCTTCTTCCTCCACAATCACTAGAATCATCTGACTGCACAGTTCCATTCCCACTTTCAATCAAACATGACAAAAAGATAAATGCACGCGCGCATATATATATATATGTTGTCCTTTCATATTAGCATAGCCTAACTCAACCTATTGTGTCAGTTGATTTCTTTTAACTAGATCAGCTAAAACATCAGGAAAAGCCCAAGTTAACAAAATAGGTTGTCATTAAAAAGAGTTATTATAACACTGAAGTTTTCGGTTCTTGATATCAACATAAATCAGAGAATCCAACTGAATCATGCAGTGCTTTGGAATTGTATCCAATAAAAAAATAGAATAGGATTGAAAAGTTAAATGCTATGAAAAATCAAGGGGCGGAGGGGGATTAAAAGTGCAGTGTAGTTTATAAGAGCCTTCAAGAATGCTCGAGTGGTTAGTTTGTTACAAGACCACTTCACCAATCCTTGCATAACTAATAACACCACAAAAGTTTCAACCATTGTCTTAAAAATTCTCTCTTAGTGCTTGAAAGAAAACTCTCACAGCTCAATCTAAAACCATGATCTTGAAAATAATGTTTAAGCTCATGCATCTAACTCTGAAGGGTAAACTCCATCTTCACTTAAAACAATAAAAGCAGCATTGTCAAACCCACAAATGTGCGCACTCCATAAGCAGAGCAATGGAAAATGCAGCCCTACGAATCCCGCATCATTGCAAAGAGGTTAGTGAACACCCTCCTTCATAACAGTACCGAGCATGTATCACTGACAACATGCAAAGCATGAGACGTGCTGGTTAAATTAATGGAGGGTTCTGCTTAATTACCGCAGGCCTATGGCTACATGCATGATATTAATTATAGCCAATTTTTAAATGTTAAAAATATAAACCTTCATAAGTAGACTTGTAAAACCTACAAAAGCAAAAAAAAAAAAAGGATGCCATCATACCAAGGAAAAAACTACATTAAACCAATAAAATATAGTAAACCTTCCTTTCCATTGTGGTAAAAAACTCAAAATAGTTCCATGACTATTTGTAAGTAGCCAATTTAATCTCAGAATATCACATTTATCTAATTCATTCTCTCAATTATACAAATTTGATCCTAGATGATCCCTCTAATAGAAATTGAGACAAAATTAATCCCAATGTACTTCCTCGACTATAGAAAATTGATCCTAATTTAGTCTAAAAGTGAACATTTGGGATCATTTTGTATCTTCAAGTGATTAAATTGAAGAAATGTAATACTCTAAGGATGGTCAAGGGACTATTTTGAGCCTAAGCATTTGTTTCTCTTCTTCCTATTGCAATAAATATATCAATTTAAACAGAAAATACTTACATTTTCACTTCATCCAAGCTCTGAATGAAACTATCTTGTTTGCATTTCAGATCAAGAGAACAATGAACGCCCTTACCAAATGGCATAACTTGCTTAAGATTAACCCTGAACAAAGCAGACAAAAGACAGCAAACAAAATTGATGAGTAAAAGAAGACTGGTGGGACTTCCTCGCAAAACAAACTGTTGACGATGAGATGCCTTTGACAGAATTACAAGAGAAGACTCGAGCATAATATTCAGACAAGTTGGATATGGTAAGTGGTTGATAAAAGAAGGCTAAAAACCTTGCAAAATTATGTGTTCCAAAAAACTGTACAAAAAATGACTGCTCCCGCTTCGGAACACTTGCACCAGCACATGGTTCATTCACTATCAGTGCTGGCCATACGGCATGCCCTGTTTAAGACATAATCAGCAATTAGAACAATGATGTGCAGAAGTTCTCTTGTAAGCCGAAAAAGGAGAACCTGGTTCCAGTGCAAATGATTTCATAAGATAGAAGTTTCAAAATCATGTCCATATGCATGGTAGCTAAAAAAACATGGGTTGCATATAAGATTAGATTGATGTGGCATAATTTTTTTTATTCATATCAATGCCGTGAACAGCAGTAATCTAAATGTTTGTAAGAAATTTTGATTGTACATGCACATAAACACAAGCATATGCACTGACGAGCAAAGAAGTTAAGATATAAACAATACACAAACTTGCAACATCATTGTATCCACAAAACACACGTTTACATGTATATAAAAAATGCATGCATGTCACACAAAGTTCTCCTTTCGTTTTCTTTAAACTTTATCTGAACGCTCTGGCCATCTTGAAATTCATTGTGTTTCCGTGTTGTTATCTACTTGCTTAATTGCTAATCTGCATTTTTTTTTTGTTTAAAAAGTTATGTCAGGACTCAGGATGGTGTTACTTATTTCCCATTTGCAAAAAATAGAACAAAAAACATGTATGGATATAAAAGGAAATAACAAAAAATATAACTCCATTTTTTGAAACACTCCTGCTTAGAAAACAATACAAAGCACTCAAAAGAAGTGTGTTTTCGCAATTTCATGCAACATAGTTTGCTTCCAAGAACATGAAACCAATTAATAACCAAAAATGGTTTTTAAAGGCATTTTTTCTGAAAATAAAAAACTTTAAACAAGTATGAACTTCAAGTAGCATATGGAAAGTTCAGAGGTTGATGGGAACAAAAAAGAAACACAAACAAGTGCTCCAAAACAAGTTGGAGAACATTAGACACTTTAGGAAAAAATAAACTTTCAAAGACACATAGCAAATAAACAAACAAACTACTCTCAACTTCAAATAAAAAAAAAACTTACAACTTGTAATAGAACTCTAGACACACCACTGCTTATAGAATTTTTGAGATGAAGGATATAAATAGAGTGGTAACTTGTGGAGAGAAGAAAGAGATTAGAAGTCCAAGATGAAGTTTTAGAAGAGAGAAGGTAGAAGAGGATAGCTCGCAAGCTATTCGAAACCCATAGGTTCCACTTTCCAAAAAGGAGATCTGCCAAAATTACTACTACAAAAATGCAACTAATAACTTCGACACCCCGGCATCCTTTTCCCGCAAAAAAACTCAGTCAGCTAACAAAGTATGTATGAGAAAGAAAAGCTAAAACATTAACACGCGCACACACATAGAAGAGAGTCCAGTTTCACATTTTAACTAAACGAGGCTTTTATATCCAAAAAGTAGCATGCCTTTGGGCATTTTGTAACACTCGTTAGCTGCTTGTGAAGCAAAAGGTACAACACTACAGAATGGTAAGGGTGTTGGTTAATAATGTGAAAGTTGAACTGTTGAAAATATAACCTAAAGATCCTCCCCGTAAACATGTATTTCATATTTCTGTTCCAGAATTAGTCTCCAAAATGATTTGTAAGTCTAGAATCTGCCTTCCAATTATTTCTACATCTAACTTAGTCCTCAATAAATATGCTGCAAATGTGCATGTCAGTTGACATAATGAAAATCCATTATTGCAGATTCGTTGTGCATTAAAAAAATATATTGTTCAACAATTGGAAGTAAAGACAATCACTTATCTTGTGTTGGCACTGTCGAATTTCTAAATTTGGAGCAAAAGGAACCCTTTATTAGAAACCCGCCAGAAAACATTATTACATTGACCAATTAGGTGAGCTAACAAGCATCATCAAACCAACCCTTTTGTTTAGCAAAATTTTTGAGCTTAAAGGCACAACAAGAGGGAGATGAACTAGTATGTACCAGCACATTAAAATTCTATACAAAATCCATCCAGTTCAAACCCAAAAGATAAGCACATGGAATATATGTAATAAAATTAAGCAAACATGCATAAAAGTAAATGAGTGTACAAGATAGACTAAGCTAACCTGATAGAGCCAAAGCAACAAGCTCTAATGTGAATGTATCACTCAATAGAATCAACACAAACACAAGAAGCAACTCAACTTAAAAAAACTAAACATACAACTATAAAATGTCCAAATCGATAAAAATGGTAATCTATGATGCACAGACACGGCGACACGGATATGACACGACACGAACACGGGATATGTCAATTATTAAAATTATAGGACACTGTATTATAATTTTTATATTTTAAAAGTAGTGTCTAAAAATTAAATAAGTATAATAGTAAAAATAATTTAGAAATAATAATTCATCCAACTAGAATTGATACTAAAAATGATTAATATTATGATGTTGAGAGTAGGGTGTCGATGTCGTGTATCAGGCATCAAGAGAGGAGACAACAATGTTGTCGAGAGTCGAACATTGATATTATATAGTAAGTATTGGGCGTCGATGTCAAGAGGACGTCTATCGTCGATGTTGAGAGCGTATTAGTCGTCAATGTTAAGACAACGTTGGACAAAGATGAGCTGTCAAGTTGTGGGTGTAGAAATTTCTAGAGTCAAGTCTCAATGTCAAGATGGTGTCAGACTTTGATATTGAGATGGTTTTGAAATGTCGATGTTGTAACAACGTCAAACATTGATGTTGAGATGAAATCAAGCATTCTTGAGAAACCAAAGTCACAACCCGCCAAAAAGAAATTAAAAATGAGAATATTCGATGAATGGGGTATTGAGTACGGTCGATTGATTTGGTGTTGTAGATAGGAAATAAGAAATTTAATTTTATATTTAAAATAAAAAAAAATTAAATATAAGAAATTATATTTTTAAAAAATCATAAAATATTTAAGACACGCGTGTAAGACATACATGTTCAATTTGTATTTAATATTTTTTAATAAGACATGTTTTCAGCAAGTCTGAAACATGTCGAAGGTGTGTCAAATATGTGTTGTGTCGAACGCTGCATGGCTTTTTGAGGAGAAGTATCGGTGCATCATAGATGGTGACTAAGTACAACCAACACTAAGAGTAAGAAAGTGCTCAATTTTGAACACACTGATAAGAAAATCAACTTAAATACAATAACATGTGAGCATTTCAGGCATGTATTCACCATATAAGTATATAACATAAAAGCCAGAAAATTCATGGAGCATTATCACCATATAAACAAAACTGGCTTGTTATGATTGCCTTGGTAGATTTACAATTGCTAAATGCAATGCATGTGCACATAGATTATTTAAAGGCCACAGGCAATTCAACAAGGAAAAGAAATATAATATGACAAACTAAAGGAGATACCTGTGAGTTTTGCCCACACGACATCCCCAGATTCAGGGACATCACAGTCTTCAGAAATGACAGCTAATGAAAGCATTTCATAATGATCGAACTCCTTCTTCTTCAAATGCAAGCGTTCAATCTCTTGAGAAGAAACATGAAATTGTATCTTCTCATTCGCAACAATAAGGCGTTCTTCATCCCCATCATTATACTTAATCTGTATTTTTTTGTCATATAAATGTGTGTAAAGAATCTATATTTAAAAGGAAGCAAATTTCAGCAAAAGAAAAAAAGAAATATCAAATCCAAGTTATTTATGATCGTGTATGAACAATAGCCCTCATTCAAATATCAAAATATTGATAGAGATCATAATAATGAGGATGATAATCTTTAAGTTTACATTTAATGCTGAAAAATCATTATTTTCTTAAGGGCTTATTTGATAGTTTGAAATTAGAAAATGTATTTAAAAAATGATTGGTTTTCAAGATTTAGACATTCGGTTGGATTTAGTTATAAATGAATTTTCAACACAGCAAAAACCTTCAAAATCCTTCAAAGTGAATAATGATTTTCATTTTCACCCTCAAAATGAGTGAAAACTAAAACATCATTTCAAAAACATATTTTCCAGCTTTTGGCAACCAAATGAGCCCTACATGTAATTATTTTCCCACTCAATACGATTTGTTCAAAGCATACTTCTAATCAAATTATAATTTTACAATCATTAGTTAAACTCATATTATACAGCAGAAAACCAAACATCAAACAATTTACCAAGTCTTTGAAATTGAATTTTAAAGTATAAGTAGCACTACAAATGCTTCAACGTAAGGAGATAATATAGAATTTCCAGTATAGCGCTTACCACTATTTTTTTAAAGTAATATGATCAAGGTAAGCAGCTCATTGCTACCTTACAAATCATATGAATCTAGAATAATCAACTTAAAGCAGATCAATGGAACAGAAGTCAACATACGACGATACATAACATTCTTTGGTAACATTCAAATGAATTGCCGAAGCAAAAATGAACATAGTAAATTAAGAAAGAAAAAGTCTCATCAACAAATATAAGCACTAGATTGTTAATTTTCAATAGAAACGGCTGCAAAGGCAAATATCAGGTGTTAGAGAGGGAAAGTTCTCCTATCCCAGCCATTCAATCAAAAGAATCCACTTTAGATGGCTGGAATTAATTCTTATCCTTTCAAAATCACTTTTTTTTGCAAAACCACTATGGTTTTGACATATATATATAATCTCACAACCAAAATGATTTGGATGGCTAGGATTTGAGAACTTTACCCTTCAATCATCATCATAATTGGAGTGGATTTGAATCCCAAATATCAGTATTAATAAATGCATTAAGCAAACTCATACATGATGTCGATGGCTGTCAGAATCATAGGACACGACAGAGCCCTTGTACCAGCCGTCATCCAGCGGCCAGAAAACCTGCATTGCAGCAAAACTTCTGAAGATAAATTCATCCCAAAATGACTAACCAGACGTAAAGGAAAGCACTTCTAACTTAGCTGCCAGCAGAATCACTTGCCTTGCATGCCAGACCAACAAATGCATAGGGATCTGCCCCCTCAAAATCCAATCTGTAACAAAAAGCAAAAAAAAACAATACATTTTATTCAACATTACATGTTTCAATGCCCACAAACTAAAACGAAGCAGTTGAAATTCCAAACAACAATTCTTAACCAGGTAAATAAGAGAGGACAAAATTGATACTAACTCGACCCATTTCTTCCCAATGCGAGAACAAGAAGAATCGTTCAGACTAGGGCGACACATCTTTCTTTCCACAGGAGGATTGACCCTTGACAATCTTCTGCTCCCTCTCCTTCGAGTCTCACCTGCTGCATCGCAATCCGGGTCAGCAAGCACAGCTCCAAGGCCCAGCAGCTCAAATTTTACCCTCCTCCGATTCCTTATTCTACTCCCAACACCAACTGAATGCCCCTCAGCTCCAATTAGATTCCTAACATTTCCCTGCTTCTCCCCGTTCCTCTCTTCGATCTCTCTATCCTTATCATTCTCCGATTCCGCGTCGCTAAAAATTTCAGACTTCACCATTGGGGCCGCAGAGTTGCCAGGTTCCTCCCGTTCCGGCATTTCCCGTGGCTTCTTAAGCCGTCGGCTGTACACAAAAATCGGCTTTTCAGCATTACCCCAGCGAAGCCCTCCATGGAAAAGACCAGTCAGCTGCTTTTCATCCCCTGTGCATTCCTCCTCTTCATCCGCGACGAGCTTTCGCGCCCTAACTTTTTTAGAGATAACATTGGAAGACCCACTGGAGCAGACGCAGGGAGTGGTGGAGGAGTATACATGACGGATCGGTAGGTACCTCACCGGATGATCGACCTCCTCCTCCTCGTGGATGAACTGTTCAAGAAGAGTCGGCATTGGAACTGAGGGTGGCAGGAGTAAAGGTTTGCAGACGAGGAACCACTAGGGTTTCTAGGGTTTTCGCCTTCGAACCCTTGGGGGGTAAGGTTTTTTTCCCCCGAATCGCTATTTTCCCGCCCCGGCCACGATTGATAACTTCAAAAGGGGGCTCTCGTTTCTCAAGCCAAGGCTGGTATTTATAGCCAGTGCTGGCCTCAGCCACCACATAGCCCTTTACAATTCATGGTCGGATTTATCTGCAATCATCAAAAAAATTATAACTGAATCAAAGTTAGATTAAAGAGAAGTCTTTCACAAAAATAATGCCTCCTTCTGCCATGTTAATCTGCAAGGGAAGCAGAATTTTTTGTTCCCAAGTCAAGATTTTTTTTTTCTCCTCAAATTTCGAGGTTAAACTGGTTCTTTTGAATCCAGATAAAAAGGAATTCTATATACTGTTCCAGAGTCGTTCATTTCTATTCATAGTTTGATGAAAGCTATGGAAATCTGGAGGTGATAAAGAAGATCATTAGCAAATGAGAAATATTATGTATTAGGGACCATTTCATATCTAATCTACAAAACTATCTTCTGAAATGCTAGTTTTTATCATTTGGTTAGTTTGATTTGTTGCTTTTATTTTCTCTCATCCTAGGGCAATTTGAACAACTTTAAAGGGTGAAATTGAAGTACCATAAATAGAAACTAAATTGGATGTTCTTAAGATTTCAAATGAGAGAAATATCATAATCATAATTCGTTGTTGTATGATTTGATGGCTTAAACTTGATAATTGTGTTCTAAAAATTTATACATTTTTTGAATCAAACATCTATTTGAATGTGATTAGAAGTCAATGTTAACTTAGAACTACACATACCTCCTGAAAATCGGCCTTAAATGTAAATATTTCATATGATTTAAAAACAAATCATCATTTTCTAGAACATGTTTTTTATCTACAAACAATTAAATTAATCATAATTAACATTGCATTCTTAAATTAGAGCTTTATTTGATTGCTTGAAGCTAGAAACAAGTTTTAAAATTTTGGAGATTTATGGATTATGTACACTCCATTATGCATTTTCAAGTATTAAACAAGTAGTTAGTATTACATGGCAAGTGAACTCATACCTCGTGGGCCTCACAAAGAGAACTCGCATGAGGGTCATCAATCTCTAACTTGATAGAATAGTAAGAAGGGAGTCCCCTCCTACAAGGAAAGCCAATAGTTCACACATACCACACAGCTCGTCGCCCACCCTCTGGCACGAAACACCCATCAAATCCACTCGCCGCTACCTATCGTGGAATGTCATCAACCATAATCCTAGTCTCAATTGTAGGGAAGGATCTTCCTATGAGGATTCAAACTCGTCCCATCACAGTCAACCAATCATGGAGTCTACTACCCCCACGACTTGAACATACTCACAACCCACTTTAAAGCAACTGGGGGGCTTGAAAAAAAAAGTCAACAATTAATTCAAAGTGCTTGCAATCATGACCCCTCTTAGTTTAGCCCCTCAACTCCAGACTCACCTACCCCTATACGCCTTTTCACACTCGGTACAAGGGAGCTCACCTCGGATAGAAGAGTAAGAATGAGAGTTGTAATCATCCATTGAGCTAGCTAGAGTATGATACAAGTCTAAAACAATATGTATCAGGAGTCATTAATTGTTGTACTTTTTATTTTTTTTTATCAATGTAACAACATTTTATGTAGTTATGATCATATCTCTATAAATAAGATGCGGATATGAACATTTTGGATATTTTGGCATTTTCAATTGACACTTGAGCTAGAAGATCATTTCTCATGAAGTTTCCCGTATTTCTCTCTCAACTCTTACACTGGTTCTCAAGTCGAGCCCCTTCGAGCTCCACTGCCAGTAAGTTCTGGTGTTATTAACGAATAAATTTGAATCCAACATATTACATCAGATGCAAAGAAAAATCAATTTTACTCCAAACTCAAAAAACAATTTCAACTTCCTTGAAAACTATGAATTTGTTTTCACTTTCAAAACGAGTAAAATAGATCAATAAATCAAAAGAACTCTAAAATGAATTAAAACAGACGCGCTATGTTTGATATGTAACATTTTTATTTGAATAGCAGTGCAATTTAGATGTCAATAATATTTGTGCACTCATTTTGTTACTGTAAATCAGAAAATATTTTTTAAAGAAAATAAATTTATTAGATCCATTATTTGGTTGAATATTAATTTGAAATCACTACTGATTTTAAACTTCAAAAATTCATCTCAAAAACAACGATTTTATGGTTAAATGTATAATGAGTGAAAATGAAATTATCACTTTCTAATGCTATGAAGTACATGAAGACTATAAATTAAAGCATTGTCCACAATATTGTGTTAAAGTACTTGGATCAACATAATTAAGAAAGAAGAAAGGATCTGCATCTTATGGATACAATTAAACAGTCAGAATAATCCAACAGATTATAATAGTTCTAATTTAGTATTTTGACTCTTTAAATTTGATTCAAAATAGTTAATTGTGAGTCAAAATAATCCAACAGAACGATTATTTTCTATCATATTTGAAGAGTCAAGGAAATAAGTTCTGAGCTTGATATTTAGGTGTGGATTGAACAGCATATCAGTCTAGCACATCATCAGATGAGTTTTGAAAAAGAAATAACTCTGAGAGGTCATCCAAGCTTCTCATAGTTATGGCTAAGCAACTGATTTGTATGAAACTTGCTCGGTACTTCAAAACTTGGCATGATCATGAAGGAGCTCTGTCACTGAAACTTCTTTAGAAAAAAATTTAGTGAAACACTCATTAAAATACTTCAAAAAATCTGAAAGAAACAAGCTTTCAGCTCTACAATTTGAAAGGTGGAAATTTAGGTTCGGCATAGAATTCTTCAAAAACATGTCTAATTTTGTGTTAGATTTGTCTGAAATGTGAAGTAGTGTTAGACCATGTGCAAGTTTCCATCCAAAATGAAGTCTTCGGCTTTGTTTGGGGCCGCTTTCTTACTACTTCTTAAAACAACTTTATATTATAAAAATTTTAATTTTGTACTAAAAAGCTGCTTTAAGAAGCAGTAAAAAAGCCGTCTCTTAGGCTTTGTTTAGGGTGGCTTTCTTACAACTTCTCAATTTTTGTACTAGAAAACTGTTTTAAGAAACAGTAAGAAAGTCATCCCAAACGAAGCTTTAATTTCTTTAATGAACAACAATGCCTGAATTTAGTTATATATTAACTTCTTTGATAAAACTACAAATATTGAACATAATATGGGTTTTGGTCTTTACCTTGTACAGATTCTTAGGTGATAATTACATAAACTAAAACAAAAATAAAGTACTTGAATGAGTTCTGTAATAATCCATAGCAAATAATATAAATAAAATTAAGAATAATATAGAACGCTTAACACATGAGAAAACATAAACATAAAGTTTGAAAGCATTACAATCATGAGATACAAAGGAAGTTGAAGAACAAAAAATCATGTAAACAGTCTGAATTCAATCAGGGAAAGCCTTGATACATCTACGAGTCTACTTATCTGCCCCGTAATTTTTTTTTTCTTTTACAAGATTGTACATTCATGAATAATTTTGATGTTTTTGACTTCACGGAAATTGGGATTTCCCCCATAATGCTAAAATAGTGCTATTAAATGTATTTATTTTTTAACTACTATAAAATCATTAATCATTAAAACATTAAAAAGTGTTCAACGTAATAAAATATTTGGGTTGCAAGGCATGATTTAGGCTTTGTTTGATATGACTTTCTTATTGCTTCTTAAAGCAGCTTTCTATTACAAAATTAAAAATTTAAAAAATTTTGTAATAGAAAGCTACTTTAAGAAACATTAAGAAAGTTGTTCCAAACAAAGCCTTTACACAGGATAGGATTTGTACAAACTGTCCCAACTGGGTAATGTAGCAACCCAAGCATTTATACTTTGAATGGGAAGCCTACTGATCATTAAAAAATCAAATTAATTGACAAATAATTTTAATTAAACTGAAATTAAGCATTCAAATAAATTATTATTATTATTATTTTTAATTAAAACACACGAAGAGGCCTACGCGTTAATATAAAGCAAAAGTACACGGTCCTTAAAGGGATCCCAAACTCTCTACTGCTCCTAAGAGCTACAAAATTAAAAGCAAAAAAAAAACCTATGAGCTCGGGTTCCCTACTAGCTAGGCAAAAGTACATGGAATCCTAGGTACATTCTATGGTGCACAAGAACGAGCACCCAAAAAATCATGAAGGTACAAAAAATACTATCCAGATCCAGACTCCTGCTCTTACGAACAACACGATCACCTGCAAAGTAAAACCTCTGCAAAACAAAGCAATAGACAATAGCATAACAAATGCAGAAGAAATAGCATAGAATCCAGTTGTCATTGTCACCAATATCACAAAAATAAGATATCAAAATTTTTACGGTTTGGTAAAAACTGCGTTTATAAACCGAATACTCACTTTGCCTTTCAAACTATTATCCCAAATGAAATGATATCTAATATCAAAGAAATTATAAGAGTGTTGAATTATTTTAACTAAAAATATGACTTCTATGTCATTCGCACTTGATAGGTATATTGTGCAAATAAATAATGTGGTCAGCTATTGTTTGAGCCATAAGGCCGTAACAACATAGCTTATAGCTCAATTCAAATATATTTCTTGTCAGATTAGGAAAATAGCGAGGGACTAATGAATTAGCAGACATCAGATTGCTCTTCCTTTCTACTATACAACCAACAAAGTCAGAATCAAAGAATCCAATGAGATAAAAATAAACACTATTCTTAGGACAACTAAGGCCACATGTGAGATTACACATAAGATATATAAATATATATGCTTGATTGTAATAGAGTGTGACTTCCAAGGATCTGCTTGGAATCTGACACACATATAAACACTAAACACAATGTTGAGTCTGTTCACATAAAGATACATGAAGGAACCTATTATGCCTCTATACAATTTAGCTTCTAATTGTTTCTCAATAGGGTTCTTATCAAGATCAATAAAATTTGTTTGAGGGGTTTTTAAATTCTTTAATTGTTTTATGTCAAACTTACTGATGAATTATTGAATGCGCTTAGTATAACAAATAAAAATGCCATTCCCCTTCTGTCTCACTTCGAGTCTTAAGTAAATAATTAATATGCGCATTTAAAAATTTCTTAAGAAAACATGAAAAAAAAAAAAATTAAATTGATTTTGATCCAAAAGACATAGTAAAGGGTCAATAAATTATAGGCAATATTTTATTTTATGTACCATTGATCATTTAATATATTCTTAAATTTATAGTGTCGTTTGTATTGTTATGATTTTTTTTGGGATAAAACCCATCAAAGGGGTCTATGCGTT